ATATGCATATATAGGTATACACACACACACACACACACACACACACATATATGTGTGTGTGTGTCCATGTGCATGTGCATATGCATATGTATATATTTTCTCCATGTTCACTCTTCAGTCAGGTAGCATCTGAGGAAACCTCCAACACTGCATCCTGGGTCTCAGGGGTGAAGGGCCAATGAGTTGCTTTCTCCTCCTTGTAGGGCTCTCAAACAAGGCTGCCGGTGTTTAGAGGTTGATTGTTGGGATGGATCAAATGGAGAACCAATTGTCTATCATGGCTATACATTCACTTCTAAGATCCCGTTCCGTGATGTTGTGACAACTCTTGAGAAATATGCCTTCTGGGTAAGTTGCATGCTTCTACCACAAGGAATCCCTGTAGGGCTGAACTCCACCTGTAGGTGGGAAGGGGGTAATGATAAAAGTATGGATTTGTTAGGCTTGAGCAGAAGGAGTTTAATGTAGCATAGAACAATGCTTGCAAGGTATATTCTGGGCTCAGCTCTTTTTGAACAAGTGTTTAAGTAGCCTTGGGGATCTAGTCCATCTCTCTCTTATTGTAACTCAGAATGCCTTCAAAAACAACTAACAATGGCCAATTGTTTACCATGAGGAGGAGGAGGAGGAGGAGGAGGAGGAGGAGGAGGAAGAAGAATAGGAATATTTGTATGTTGCCCGCATTCATCTCAATGAATGCGGGTAGCTCACAAATAAATAAATATGATAAAGTTCAGCAGGATGGGAACCATCTGGATCTTGGGGAAAATCTCATTCCAGAGGGCAGGCATTGCTACAAAGGTGTGCTTCTGGGATTCTGATAGATGGCATTGTTTAATCAGAAGAGCACACCAATCCTGCCAGATTGAATTTGATGGACAGATATTATACTGTAGTTTCCCATCTTAGAACAAACAAATATTAAAATTATTCAAAAAGGGACAAAACCCCCAAAGGGTTAATTTTAAACATGAACAGTAATTGAAAACATACTGTATGCATTTGGTACCACACATTTCAGCAAACTGGTGTCCAATTTGATGTACAATCAGAAGAAACTCTTTGAGCTTGGTTGTTTGCTTGCAGACATTTCATTACCCTCTAGATAACATCTTTAGTTTTATCTTTAGTAGCATTGAAGATCTTACCTAATCAGGTAATGAAAAGTCCGCAAGCAAACAACCAAACTCAGAGAGCACTAGGAACTCCACAATTCAGTCCTAAACTACATATATTCTCTTCTATTTTAGAAATATAGTGATGTGATTATGTCATGTGAAGCTGGTGAAAATAAAGATTTAGAGAGCCATCATTACAAAGCCCCCCCCCCCCAATCCTGGTTACCCATTAGTCTCCGGATCTGCTTCAAGGCACTGGTCGTTACCTATAAAGCCCTTCATGGCATCGGACCTGGGTACCTGAGAGACCGCCTCCTGCCGATCCCCTCCCATAGACCAATTTGATAACACAGGTTAGGTCTCCTCCGGATTCCATCTGCCAGCCAATGTCGGCTGGCAACCCC